GAACTCACCTGGGAAATTGGGGCAGGAAGTCTGGGCATTTGTATTTTCAACAAGCCCTCAGATGCCAAGTTTGGGAACTATTCATCCATCCCTGTACCTCATCTAGACACAGGGAAATGGTGGCACAGTAAAGTCCCTTGCCACCCATAACCCCAGGTGGCTAGAGGCTGAGCAAGGATCACAAACCAGGTCTCCAGATTCTAATCTAGTTCTTTTCCATCAAGCTACATGGCATGGATGCCATCTCTTCAATGCCTGGCCTCTGGCACAAATCCCCGCTCCACTATGCATGATGAACAAACAGCTTAAGTATCCCCCATGCAGAGGAATTCAGCATGTGACAAGGACACTCAATACTGTAGTTTTTATTCAAACAAAATGTTGAACAAGAAAAACCCTTAGCCTGAAGTACGAGATCCTCTGTAACTTGCTCCCTGCTGGCCTCTGTAGTCTCATTTCCCTCGGGACCTTAATGGTACCCTAACCCTCAACCAGACTGTTCACACCCTGGACCCACACTGCAGAGCTCCAAAACTCAGGAAAGCCTCTACTTTGTCAGCACAAATGAATCAAGCATACCTGTGGCCTCAGAACCAAGCTGAAGTCTATTTTTGAAATGGAGTTTTTGGTACCAGGTGCATTATGCAAAACTGCTGGAAGGCACCAAAGTCACCAGAGATCTTCCATCTCACCTATAAGCACTCTGCTCCCACCCTCCCCAACTCATCCCCACCTGTACCCCATGAGAATGACTGGGTTCATTTCACCCCACAGCTGCTACTTGTTCCCACCTCCCTGCATTCTAGCTTTTACCACCTTAGATCAGAAAACTCTGCTCCCATGCATCCAGATCAGGTTGTTAGTGATATTCCTTCATAAGCCTTCCAAGACCCAGTCAACCTTCAGATTCTCTTGCCTCGGATTTCTATCATGTAATTTAACACAATTATGCACTGTCTGCTGCTTCACAGTGAGGAATCAGGCCATGAGACTGCAGTGAGTTGTTAAACCCCCTGAGCTTTGAGAGAAGGGTTAGTTCATTCATCTCTCCAGGCCTCCCCCACAGGGACCAGGGTGCACAGCAGTCTAGCCAACAGGAAATTCAGTTGGCCATCTATCACTTCAATTATCCCATGGCAATGGGCACCTTGTTGAGCACACAGTGGGTATACAAATCACGAGTCTTGTCCACCTTTAACCTTTACATGCCCTGCAGAGAACTGCTCAATTCGTATTTGACTGAATAAAAGCACAGGGATAGACTCTGGAGTCAGGGGCACCTGGGTGGCTCAGCCCTTAGGTGTCTGCCTTCAACTCAGGTCATCATTCCAGGGTCCTAGGATTAAGGCCCACGTGGGCTCCCTGCTCAGCAGGAAGACTGCTTCTTCTCCCACTCCCCACTTGTGTTCCCTCTCTGTCAAATAAAACCTTCCAAAAAAAAATTAAAAAATAAAATTCTCTAGAACCAAGACAACTGTGCCCTACTCCCAGCCCCACCACTTAACTGCTCTAAACTCTCCTCCATAGGCCCAATGAGATCAGTCTCTTAGGGTTATTGTGTAGGATAAAGGAGAAAATTTATACAGAATTTAGATGGTACTTGCCTTGGCTCCAAGACTATGACCTATTAAGATGCTGTTTTTAAGAACCCAAAATAACTTATCAGGAAACAAAGAGCAGAACAGTGTTAAAAGCTGCTTGACTGCTTGGGCACATGCAGCAAACTATAAATGCAACTTGGGTGCTGTGATAAGAGGCCAAGAAGCACCCCAGTATTCACTGGAGACTGTAAAACCACCCCCTTCAGAATCACTTCTAGCCTCTTTTCACCACTCTTTAAAGATCCCTGCTTCCTCTCAAGAATCCACAACCTCCCCCCAGTGCCAAATTAAGGAAAGGAAGGTACTCTCCCTCCCTGCTGACTGCTTAGGAAAGGCAACTTTGCATTTTCCCAAAGTCCCTTTCAAAAAGACTGCTGACAGCAGGGCATGGTCTGGTTACTGTCAGGGGCAACAATGCTGCATCTCTACGAATCCTCAGGTTCAACAGCAGAGACCTTCCACAATTTTGAGTGAGTTCCTGTGTGTCCTTCCCTATCACACATTGCTTAGCACTGCAGTTTCTAAACTGTTCTTACAGGTCCTCCACCATCTCGGCCTCAAAACAGCCTCTTCAGTCCGGTCAACAGAGCAGGTACCCTTGAGTAGCCCAATTTAAAGTTAATCCATGGGTGCCTGGGTGGTTCAGTCAGTTGGGCGTCCGACGCAGGGTCTGCTAGCTGACCTCAGGATCTTGGACTCTCTGCTCAGCAGGGATTGAGATTCTCTCTCCTCCTCCCTTTGCCCCTCCAGAGACCTCCCTCTCGTGCATGTGCTCACACTCACGTACTCTCTAAAATAAATAAATCTTAAAGAAAAGCTAACCCAGAGGCACCTGGGTGGCTCAGTCAGTTGGGCATCTGCCTTTGGCTCAGGTCATGATCTGGGATCCTGAAATGGGAGTCCTACAACCAGTTCCTTCCTCAACAGAGAGCCTGTCCCCCTCTTCCTCTGCCTACCACTCCCCCTGCTTGTTCTGTCAAATAAATAAATGAATAAAATCTTAAAAAAAGAAAGAAAAGCTACTCCATCAGTTGACCAAGTGACTTGCCGACACCCACCTGGACTAAATGGAAGAATCCGCAGAAGGGACACAAAACCAGAGGGCAGGTGGAGAGGGTACAAGCTAGCTGTAGGAGCTGAGACCATGGAGGCCATGGTGGACTGCACAACACCAATCCTAAGGCAGGCACCCAAGCATTTAACCTTGCCAACTATCATCACACAGGAAATTGAGGTGTTTGTTGTTGGTGCCTGGTATTTCAAGAAGCTGGAAATCTCGATCTTTATAACTTGTCCAGTTTCAAAATGTTGTGCCTGTGCAACAGAGCTTACAGACAATATCAGTTAGTGACTTCTGCAATAGCTCAGCCTAGGCAGCTCCCCTGGAAAACCAAGCCCAGCCAGAGTTAATAGTAACTCCCTTCCCCAAAGAGGCTACACTGGCTGAATGACTGTCAACTCTGCCTTTCCTGAGTACATCCCAACAGAAAAGCTTCTTCATCTTGTGAATGCTACCCTCACCTCCACTCAGGCTGGCCACAGCTGTGCCCTCTATCTTCACATCAGTCTCTAGTACCCTACTCTCAAACCCACCTCATACCCTTTATTTTGCTTCTCTTAGCTCTGCTCCTCAACTTTCCAACACCTCCCCCACCTCCAATTCATCCAGTGCTCTACCGCAGGCCAGCCCAGGTGTCACCTCTCCCAGCTCTCCCTTCTCTTTTTCCTTCTCCTTGCCCCTGCACGCTGTTTATCAGTCCTCTGCTCCCTCAACCTCGCTGCCACAGGAACCCCATCTTCTCCTGCAATGTTTGCAACCAGAATGGCTTCTGCACTGCTAGCTGAAAAATCCTCCACTCCACATCACCTTTTAGCCACTCTGGTGAAAACTGACACTAGCAGTCCTGAATCCCCCACTCCTCCACACTCTCCTACCAGTACAGCCAGGCTTAGGTCCTGGCCCTAGCAAGGGAAACCAAAGGGCCATGAATTCCACAAACCCAAAAGCATAGCCTGAGCTTAGCTCCAAGTGAAACAACTACACCTGTCATCAGCAGGCCTCAGCCAGCAGGTCCAGCCCTTACATCCCTGCTCTCTACTCTGCACGTCCCTCTTCAATCAAGGCCTCTCACCATGTTCTCCAAAACACACAACCATTCCTTCCAGCATCCTCATGCCTTCTATCACGATCCTTCCTTCTTCCCGAACCCCCCATCTACCCAACCAAGCAGGTCTTTCACTCCTTTACAATTTCCTGAGGTTTCACTAGTGCTTTTCATCTACTTACATAGCTCCTAATCATATTTATAAGCTTGACTCCCAGATAGACCCACGTAAGGTACAAACCAATCCTATACCAACTTCAGGGGAAAATGGAATCCAAAACCCTTAAGCCATTAATGCCTCTTCACCCCATTCCCAAATACCCAAGCTCTCCCAACTCCTCACTTTCTACCCTTCTCATCAAAAGGCACCCCCAACCCTTACAGTAAACCTAAAACAACTGCCCTTCAAATCTCTCAAAGCCAGGGCTCCTTGAGTGGCTCAGTCAGTTAAGCGTCTGCCTTTACTCCAGCCATGATCCCAGGGTCCTGGGATCAAACCGCACATCAGGCTCCCTGCTCCATGGAGAGTCTGCTTCTCCTTCTCCTTCTGCTGGTAACCCTGTTCTCTCTCTCCCCCAAATAAATAAAATCTTTAAAAAAAAAAAAAAAAAAACCACACACACCTCTCAAAGCCAAACAAGTGACCAATAACCCAGAGCTCAGGGTTATCAACCTGGTTATCAACTCTGATACCTGAAAAAACCAAACTCGGAAGTGACATTCAGCAAAGTATAAGTGATACTACATAACCGTCCATGTTTCACCAAAAGCATATACAGATTTACCAAGCAATTACACACTACATCCAAATATTCATTATACTAACTTCTTCCAAATTCCCCACTCATAATACACCATTCAGTTATCCCACAAGCACAAACCTACAATGCACAGATAATTTTGGCAGATCTCATTTACTTCATGATGAATGATGAAAACGGGAACTAGTAATTTTCTACTGAGGTCGGCAAATAGTTTTTCAATAATAAGAACGACATCGGGTTCTAGGAAGACCAAAAGGGATTAACGGAGATTTCAAGTGTGTCTTTCAGATAATGATCTACTAGACTGATGGCAAGTATTAACAATGAGCACACGAGATTGGCCCTATATGCTCTCATGTTGCTGATACCCTATACCTACATTATTTGTGCTACTAAAAGAAACGACAATCATACCAAGTTTTCACTAAAAGAGTACTGGAATATGTAAACTTGGGCAGCAATCTAAATCTACTCTAACAGCAGAGTAATTTTCTTAACACTCCCAATAAATTTCAAACACATTTCAAACAGACACATTAACATTCTTAGTTTATTAATCCTCTCATGAAAAATCTGCACAATCACCACAGATAAAGCCACTGCAGCACCTTTACTCCTTCTGTGAAACAAAGAAAAGGAAAAATTTAGTTAGTTAACCACCTTTAAAACTGTTTGAAGTTCAAAATCTTCAGCAAACTCCAAAATTAATGACACTCATGCAAAATAAGTATTACTGACCTAAAAGGTTAAGTTTGTGATAACACAATGAGAACATCAAGAAATAAAGCTTGCAAACATTGAAACAAACAATTAAATATTAAGTTTTAAAAACAAAACCATGTCACTACCAGTATTTAAAAAGCTACGATTCTTGGAAGTATTTGTGAATCAACTTCTAAAACTATTTCACATGCAAAAACAAACACAAAAAAAACAAAAACTATTTCACATGCTCTAGACTTTCAAATTACTGTTATCAGTAAAGCCTAATGATCCACATGAAAAGCTTGAATTATACCTGTTTTCCAATCTCCAGCTCACTGAATCAGTGGCAGGGAAGGGAGAAAGGAGGGAAGAAGGAAAAGAAACATTTCATTAATAGTCCCTTTTCAAACTCCAAAATAATCTGCATTTACATGCATGCAATTAGTTACCTTAAAAATAACTTTTCTTTTTAACTGTATACAGAGCACTCCTCAGACACACTCTTTATTCCTCTCAATTTGGAGAATACCTCAAGTGATTACTATGGTTCTTATGTAAACAAAGTGGCATAATGGTTTCACAACGAAAAGATCATCATACCAACAGCAGTGCCAATCCAGGCTGCCACTGCCTACGTATACATGAAGCACACATACCTGACCCTCAACCCTCCTGCTCTGCTGCTCAGCAACATCATGTTGGGCACACAAGCACCACCGAAAGAGCCAGGAATCATCCCACACTAGAGTCTAACCTCAAAGAGAGTTCTAAATGATCAAGCTAAGTCTTTTAAAACCTGTCTCAGCTCAATACTTTAAAAGCTACTGTTCACAGCCACCAAAAGTAGTGCAAATTAGTTTTTAAAAAGGCTGAACTGGGCTGAAACGAAAATGCTTCAAGCGCTCTTCAAACAAGAACATTTATTCCTTAATTTAAAACAACTCTATTGTACCTAAAAGGTTAAGAGCAAATACCAATTCCAACATCCAAACAAAAACAGTTAAAAGTAACATTAGTAAATCTGGCTATTTGGAGCCAAAGAACACATGTGCTCATTCACGCATTCATTTCCCAGCCAGTTTTCCCGAGCTCTGCTAATGAAATGCACCAGTGCCATCTGAAGAGGGAATAGTGATGGCTCAGGTCCCCACAGGGAGCCCCTCCACACGTCACTGGCGAACACTAACGAGCACAAACACATGGGGCCCAAAGGCTGAATGAAGACGAGAACGGGTTAAATGTCCTTGGGTTCTAGATCAGTCCACTGACTCTTCTTTGCAACCTCAGCAAACTCAGTTGGTAAGTATAAGCCTCACAAAAAGGGAGCAGTTCTAAGCAGAAGGTAGTTCCTCTGGCAGTTCATCCATTACTAGAACTCCATGGCTGGAAAGACAATGTGATTAGAGAGGCCTGGGCAGGCATACCAGATTTACTGCCTGGCAGGGAGTCATTGTTACAGGAAGTACACAGGGGCAGGACTACCAGTGTTTCAAAACCCTACTACACCCCCAACCCCTCTTAAGCCCACTTTACATGATTTAGGCTGCTCAAATATGCAAAAATGTCGTGGGGTAGTGGACCTCTCTGACAAAAATTTACAGAAAAAGTTTATCATATATCAGAGGCTTTGGTGTGAATATATAATTACCTTGGAATTTTTTCAATTAAAAGAAAAATGGACATCAGATGAAAAATTAGAGATCAATAAAAAGCAGTATAACCGTAAAAGGCAGATCTGAGTGAACGCTTTCTAGACAGAAGCTTCGCCAGATTTCCTAGACGGTTTTATTACCAGAGCTGCCAAAGAAATTGACCAGTCCTCAGGATCCCCAAGGGAAAGACTGCTGATGACAAAATGAGAGGCCCTTTCCCAGGCCCTGTGTTAACTAAAGCTGTTTCCTGGGTATATAACTCTGGGACACAGCATTTCCCAACTACAAGTTAAAAGATGCCCACTCAGTAGAGTACCCACCTTCCAACACCAGGTCACTTCGCAACATTAACATGCATTTCTGAGTTTCCAAAATAAACGTGATTAAAAGTTTCTCTCCCTTCCTCATTATACACCATTTTAAAACAAAGCAGTTAAATTATAAGAGATCATACTACATAAAACTCTTGTTGTCCAAAAGCCAACACATGCAAAGCATCAAAGCAAACTCAGTGAAGGTGATGCATCCCCACACCGTGCTCACAATCTCAGTACCTGCTAGACACTTCATTTCTGATGAATAAGAAATCCAAGAAAGTAGAGGGAAAAAGCAAAAAAAAAAAAAAAAAAAAAAAAGTTCACAGAACACTTGATTATTTGTTAATTTAACAACCCAACACCTTAATTCAACTATTATTTACAGTTAGCTGGCAAAGCTGGTAAAAAGCTGCTTATCATTAAAATCACTTAAGTCTTGGCTAACTGGAGAGGAAATCAACCGAGACTTCAGCTGCCTCTCCAGCATGCCAGGAAAACATGGGCCACATTGATTCAACTGCTTCTTAAACCAGTTATCTGTTTTAAGCAAATAAGTTTAATCTTCCTCTTTTAACAGTCCAAACCAATTAGCAGTAAAATGAAAACTTTTTCCTGACAGGGCTTGCAAGGTGCCTACTAGGATCACTGAACCGATGTGGCCCCTGTGTTGTGCTGATCTGTGAGCTGACAAAGGGTGGGCAAAGCTACTCTAGTGAGGTGTTAAGATACTACATCATGTAGCGTCTCAAAACACATTACCTTCTGTAATCCAGAAGAAGTGGGAAAAGAAAAAACATTAAAAAAGGTTATTTAAGGAAACAAATCCCTCCTTTCTAGAAACTAAAGACCTGCAACTGACATTTCTGTATTCTCCTTGATGAGCAATACCTTTTTGCCAGCACCAACATTGGCTTTCGCAGTCCCCCTGACTTTCTTCATTCTGTTCTTGCGTTCTTTTCGCTGTTTTCTTGAGGTCTTTTTCTTCTCATACAGACCATGCTAAAGGAAAAAGGAGTACCTTTAAGTGACCTGTGAACATCAACTCAGCATTAACTGATCTGGTAGGGATCATAAACAAGTCAAGCAGCTCAAGAAATGCACCTTCCCAAATCAAAAGTGTTTCAAGTACATTTAACAATACTTGTTTGTAATAAAACAGGAAAGGTAATCCAATTGAGACACGCCATGCGCAAATCAGTGGCACAGTAACCACATGTGCTCTCAACACTCCAATCTACTCCTCTTCACTCTGCCCATTTTTGCACGTGCTGTTCCTGCTGCCCAGACTGCTTTCAAATCTTCAAACAGATTTCAGCTTAAAGGTCACCTCCTCAGCAAGGCCTCCGAGGCAACCCAACTAAAGAGTACAGCATCTGCCTACCACACCATCATTTCCCCTCAGGTGTTCTATTGGAAGACTTACCTGATGGCAGTGAATAAAGAGAGAAAAACACAAGTACTACTTTAAAATAATAATCTACAGTTTATAATCTAGAATCTAAGGGAGCTTGCTCCACTCATTGCTGTAGTTCACTAGGAAAATGATCAAAAGCCTTTTCACGATTCCTGGCTATCTCTGAGGGTGGAGTCCAAACTCAGACTTTTAGAATTAAGGATCTCAATTTGGTGCCAACCTTTCCAAACCCATCCCCCTATTTCCAGCTCCTATCTCCACAAGTACTCCATTACTTACCCTTCTAGACCCAGCTCAAATGCCACCTCCTCAAAAGCTGCAGACGCCATTACTGAAGCCCTGTACTCTATCTGTTCATTTATCAAAGAACCTTCTTTCTTAACCCCTTTAGTTCCTTAGGTCTGAGGGCTGTCCCTCCACAGCCTGCCTGCTCTTGCTCATTCCACTGCACCCACAACACAATGCTGTTGAAAAATTCAGTCCTGGGGCACCTGGGTGGCTCAATGGTTGTCTGCCTTTGGCTCAGGTCATAATCCCAGGGTCCTGGGATTCAGTAGGGCTCCCTGCTCTGCGGGAAGCCTGCTTCTCCCTCTCCAAGTCCCCCTCCTTGTGTTCCCTCTCTTGCTGTCTCTCTGTCAAGTAAAAAAGAAAAAAAAGAAAAACTCAGTCTTCAGCAACTATTGAACAAATGAGAACACCTACTCTTGCAAGTCTATGTTTGGGTTCATTTTTCTTTGCATAATCCAAGGAATCATAAATCATGCCAAAGCCAGTTGTCTTGCCACCACCAAAATGGGTTCTGAATCCAAATACAAATATGACATCTGGTGTGGTCTTGTACATTTTGGCTAGTTTTTCCCGAATTTCTGTCTTAGGTACTGTTGCCTTTCCAGGATGAAGAACATCAATAACCTAAAAAGAAGTAACAGGTTTTAGTGCTTATTATTACAAAATGAGTCTTTTAAAGCGAGAAACAATGAAACTTTGATATGTCCTCCCTTACCATTTGTTTGCGCTGAAGTAGTCGGTTGGTCATGAACTTCCTGGTCCGGATAGTTACTGTGTCATTCTAAAAACATACATAAACCACGAGTTAGCAATCCACTCAACCTCTTCCTGACCCTGCTGAGAGTTTCCAAGGTACAGAGCTGCCATTGGGTACCTACGAGCCACATGTGGATGATTTACAAACATGAAGTCACATTTAAGATGCAATTCCGCAGGCGCCACATTTTAAACCTTCAACAGCTACATGAGCTAGTGGTGGGAACGCTTCCACGGAAAGAAAAAAACCACAACCCCCCCCACCACCTAACTCCTAAGACACACTTAACACACATATCCTCAGTACCAAGAGAACATACTCCACAGCTTGCTGGAATCTTCCCTTGGCATGGGAATCACTTTGGAGAAGGGTTTCTCAATCTCAACATCACTACTCTGGCCCCACTACTTCTCTGTGGGGACTGTCCTGTGCATTTTAGAACGTCCCGTACCACCCTTGCACTAGAAGCCAGTAGCACCCCCAACTCTCCAGTTTGGATCAAAAATGTCGCCAGATTTTGCACTGTCTCCTTGGGGCGGGGCGGGGGGAGACCACCCTCACCCTCATGTAAGGACCCTTTCTGTGGAGTAAAACTACTTGAACTTGTACAAACCTTACAGCCTCAATGACGTTCGTAACACCCTCACAAATTCGACACAAACGCTGCCACTATCTGCATGTCAACTACCCACCGTGCATGGCCAACTTACACCCCACAAGAAAACCTGCTCCCTTCTAAATGGCCCAACAGCTTTTACACAAATAAGCACCCAGGAACGTGGGCATTCAGCATGCTTACACTAAAAAGAAATCTCATCCGAAAGAGAGAAAGGAGAGGCTTCCATGGCAACGACTGGTGCCGAATTACTACTTCAGTGCGAAGAGCCACACCGAAGTAAGTTCACTTGAACAGCCCCCAACTCTTGAGAACACTGGAGGGAAGAGGGAGCTTGCACGTACGGTGGGATTACGAATGGGTGCTGAACCTTTACTGACAGAGCTCAGTCGTCATGTACTCAAGGCAAGCTTTCTGCGGGCCTCCCTTTCCAAGATCTCGGTTTCCGCAAGGTACAAGAGGTTCCGTCCCGTTGACAATGTTCTAGGTTAGACATGCGGACAACTTCACGCGCCACAAATCGCCCGGGCGCCGCCGGCACCCGCTTCATCTCTGGGGCTGCCATCACTTGCAAGCCGCCTATCCCAAACCGAGAACGCAGGTGAGAGGAGTCTCAGACCACCCCGCCCGATCCACTAGGCTCCACGACGCCGACAAACGCAGCAGGCGCCCTCGCAATCCCCAGGCCCTGGATTCTGAACCCCGGCGTGCCCGGGTCAGGTCCCAGCCGACGGCTCCAGGACTCTCGGCAACCACCCTCCGTCAGACACAGCCAAAAAAAGAGCGACAGAGCTTCGGGTGGCCGTAGCACAAATGGCAGGACCCGGGGACGAAGGATGGCTCAGATACGTGCCGGATGACGGCACGGGTCTGGGGAGACTCACCATGATGGCTCCCGAGTTTCAAGCACCGGAGAGAAAAAGAGACCCACTACCCGCCGGCCAATCATATCAATGCGCAAGGAAGGCCCCCGCGAAGGCGTGGGGGCGTGGCCAGCCCGGCGAGGGCGGCCGCGCCAATGCCTGACTGAAAGTGCCCAAGGCCCGCCCCCACGATAGCAGACGTTCAGTCTCAATTCCAATTCGTTGTCCTGAATTTCCCGTACTTAAAATTACGGTAAACTGAATTATACTTTAAGTTATCTCAATACGAGTTAAACCTTCGTAAAACTAGAAGACATCGTAGGAGATCCTGTCGACCAGCTTCATTTTATAGCGAGGGAAACCGCAGAAACCGATTCAAAACCCTTTGTTATTTCAACTGCACGAAACCGACCATTTTAGTTTCTTGCTAAATATTGCTTTTTTTGAGATCCTGTGGTAGTTTTCTGAATTAAAAATAAAAGAATCTTTCTTTAATTTGTATTTTTTCTGAAAACCTTAGTCCTTACCAGAAAAAAAAAACTTCTATGAATATTTGATCCATAAATTTGTTATTTAAAGTGACATGGCCATGCAAAAATAAGGAACATACGTGCATGTTCAAATACATACATTAGGACCTCCAAAGATTAGTGTGGAAGAGGAGACAAAGGTGCAGGCTTTGAGGATAGCTTTTCTACATTTTTCAGAATAACAATAGCTAATATTCATTGAGTGACTGCTATGTGCCTATTACATTCTAAATACTTTCACATTCATTTTGCCATTTGACCTTCCCCATAACTCTAAGAAGTAGGATACTTATTACCTCTCTTATAAGGTGGGAAAACCAAGACAAAATGAGACTAAATAACTTTCTCAAGGTCCCACAACTTCAGGTGGTGGTACCCCGGGAGCGACTGTGATTCCAGAACCTTTGCTTCTAACCTCTATGATAAAAGCCCCTCGTCAAATCTTGTTAGTACTGTCTATATTCTTCCAAAGAGATTTTAAGTGATTAACTGCTGAAATAAGTAAAGTCTGATTTGCTTTGCTTTTTGTTTTACATTTGTGTTTTGCCAATGAGGATCCATGGAGTCTGAATAGCATCCTTTCTTAAAACTCAAAGGTGTTGAACCACTTGATTCAGTTCTGTCTAGAGTTTCTTACAAATAGTAAAGAAGTTTCAGGCTCTGTAGCATTAAATCCTACAGTGGTGTGGTTTCCTTGGTAGTCTCATGTGCTGAGATGTCACACTAGGATCACCTCCCACAGGTTGTCACAGAGTGTGCGCAAGTTGTTTATTTCCTGACTACGTTAATGATCTCCAATTCCTATTCTCCCTTCATCTTGCTCACCATGACTTACTTTTCACAGATTTATAGCTTCAGGTTTTGTAATCAATCATATAAGTTTAATTCATTTCTTTTTTATTTATTATTATTATTTATTTATTTGACAGATAGAGATCACAAGTAGGCAGAGAGGCAGGCAGAGAGAGAGGGGAAGCAGGTTCCCTGCGGAGCAGAGAACCGGATTCGGGGCTCCGATCCCAGGACCCTGATATCATGACCTGAGCTGAAGGCAGAGGCTTAACTCACTAAGCCACCCAGGTGCCCCCTCATTTCTTTTTCAAAGAAACTTTGTAAACTGCACGCATGACCTTGTTTCCTGACCCATTTATTTCCTTTGGTGGTCTTCCAGTTTCGTACTTCTGTTCCCTGGGCAGGTTCATTTAAGCCTCCACCTTAATGTAAAAAATTAGAGGATCAATCTTAATTAAGGTGGTATTGATGTGTGTGACCTGGAGAAACGAACCGCAAAAAGGCTTTTGAAATTGCCAGAACCGACCCCGCTGCAGTTTCAACGAGGCGCCGCAAGATGGCAGTGTAGGGAGAAGGCGGAAAGCGGTCTGTCCGAAGCCTTCTCTTGACTGACGCACTGGCGAGTAGCGGAAGAGGAAGTGACCACGTGGGGCGCTCTACGTGGGGCGCTCTACGGTGGCCGACAGGATGCCACGGAGGTGTTAGCAGCGAGCCGACTAGCAGCCTCAGGAGGTGTGAGGACGTACGTTTCTCTAGCTCCCCGCGTATTGGGGAGGGTACCTCGGCAGCCGTCACCATGGTGAAGGAACAGTTCCGAGAGACGGATGTGGCCAAGAAAATGTAAGGAGAAGCAAGAGTGGTCAAAGGGTGGAGAAACGAGGGGCAAGGGGGTGCGGTGTCAGGGGTCCCGGGTCTCGAGGAGTCAGAGATGAGATTCAGTTGGAAGGGGAAGGCCGGGAGGTCCGCCGAAGGTGTGGGCAACACTCAGAAGTATCAGGATAGGTCAAATACTATTGGTCAGGCAGAGGGTAATCCAACACCTGGGGGACTGCAGGCGGGGGTTGGTCCCGGGGCTTGCTATGTGTGACGCGAGCTGTGGCCCTACGCACGAGTCCTCCGAGGTCAAACGATGACCTTTCCCAGCAAATCTTTTTGCCACTGCAGCATGGGGCGCAGTCTCGGGTGGGGACTGTGTCTAATTGTGGTTTTGCTGCAGAGCATGTAACACGGAGGCGATATTTGCTGACCGAAAGGATAGAGTTTCCAGTTAGAAAGCTATCCCACTGGGTGATGTGTAGCAGTCTCGGAAATGAGGCTGCTCTTCTGGACCTTTTGTCCCTCAGAGCTTATTTATCAGACCGTGGCCTCCTCTTAGAGCTGACACGGGAGAAATGAACCAATCATTCTTGCAACAGACGCTTAGCTGAGGAAGGTGTGGTGTGCTAGGCCCGGCCATAAGTTTTAGAGCTAGGACGCGAATAAGACCTTACTGCCTCTTTTAGTTGGAGAAGGTAGGCAAGTCAGTGTTGGCAAGTGCAAGGACAAACACCTAATAAGAAAGGGACTCAAGCAGAAGAATGCAGACCCAGCAGCCTTTAAGGAGCATACTGGAGGGAGAAAGGGGTGATGAGAAGGAAGCAGGAGATTGGAAGCTGTGTTCCAGAATCCTCTTGCGGCCATAACGAACCTCTGGAGCATTTTAAGCAGGGGAGTGTCTTGATAATAGAGTTCTCCTGAAACGTGTCTCGATTCTTGGGGGACAGAATGAGAGGGAGAACTTGGATGCCACTGCAGGAGATGATGATGTCCTTCTGCATGAGGTTGGTAGAGTCACTGGAGAGATGGATTTCAGAGGGGTTTAGGGTGTAAAATGGACGCACAGAATCTCTTGCTTGGGCGGCTGTTCAGTTGGTTGCCGTCCATGGGAAACAAGTGTCCTACTTGGAGGAATCCTTGCCAGTGGGCTCTCCGTATTCACCCTGGCCCTTCATTCCCACCCCCCAAACCCCACCCATATTCAGTTGTAATCTGTTCTCAGGAAGGAGCCCAAGAGACCCTGTTAAGATGCAAATTAGATTTTCTGACTCCAGTTTAAAACCTTCCTGTGGCTTTCCATTGTACTAACATGTAAAATCTCTACCAGCCTTCCCAAGTGCAGCATGACCAGACCCCACACACCACACTGATTTCATCTTGTGCCATTATCTTTCTGCACTCTATTATACTGGCTTGGTTTTGTTTTGGTTTTTTGGTTGTGTTTTTTTTTTTTTTTTAAGATTTTATTTATTTATTTGACAGACAGAGATCACAAGTAGGCAGAGAGGCAGGCAGGTGGGGGGGGCGGGGGAGGGGAAGCAGGCTCCCCGCTGAGCAGAGAGCCAGATGCTGGGCGAGGTGAGGCGATGCAGGGCTCAATCCCAGGACCCTGAGACCATGACCTGAGCCAAAGGCAGAGGCTTAAACCACTGAGCCACCCAGGCACCACCACCCCCTGTTTTTTTTTTAATTCCAGAAGCCACATCTGTTTTGGAATGAAGTCCCCTGAGGAGATGCGCCAGCAGGCCCACATCCAGGTTGTGAGTAAGAACCTGTACAGCCAGGACAACAACCATGCTCCCCTGCTGTACGGTGTGCTTGACCATAGGATGGTAAGGCCTCACCCCCTCCCAGGCCATGTGTTTTGACGTGCTGATGAAGCTGATGATTTGCCAGGTCAGAAGAAGCAAGAGCTTCCTTCCTCCCTTATTCCTCCTGCACCATCTCAGGGAATCTAGCCTTTGGTCAGTGGGGTGTGAACACACCGCACCTTCCCAGCTGATTCTGACTCAGAATCACCTGGTCCCACTGTCCCGTCCAGTAGTCTCCATTACTAATTGGGTATGCTCTTATCCAAAGGGTACCAGTGAGAAGGACCGTCCTTGTGAAACCTGCGGGAAGAACTTGGCTGACTGTCTGGGCCACTACGGTTACATTGACTTGGAGTTGCCGTGCTTTCACGTGGGCTACTTCAGAGCAGTTATCGGCATCTTACAGGTGGGTGCAGACGTGTTTGTTTTCAAGGCGTAAACTTGGCAATTACTGCTCAGGAATGTTGGAGTGAGTTTAGGATTGTGAGTGGTTAGGGATACATCTAGGGAGAATGTTTACTTTACACTCATAATATTGAGTCTTGCAGGAAATTAAATTGCATAAGGATTCTTTCTTCTTTGTTTTTTCTTGAGTAGATGGTAGATAGGACACCGTGAAAAATAATCATAAATCCAGCAGTACAGAACAGCACAAAATTAAAAAATCAGTTAGCAGAAATCCTGCCAGCAAGCTGTGATGGTGAACATCACCCAGCTCCCTGGGCTTGTTGCTCAGTTTCCGTGTCCCAGGCAAGAGGTAGGGGTGACATTTTTAAAAGAAGACTTTTTCATCTCTCATTCTTTTCTCTGTTTTAATTTTCAAAAGATGATCTGTAGAACGTGCTGCCGCGTCATGCTATCCCAGGAGGAGAAGAAGCAGTTTCTGGATTATCTGAAGCGGCCCGGCCTGACCTACCTCCAGAAACGTGGGCTGAAGAAGAAAATCTCAGATAAGTGCCGAAAGAAGAACATCTGCCATTACTGCGGAGCGTTTAATGGTGAGCAGGACACGGAAAAGGCCTTTTTTTGAAAGCCCTTTCCATTTACTCCGGCCCATTTAGCTTATTAGTTTTATGCAGTGCTGGGAAGTCAGGATTTTTCTTGGAGCCTAGCAACGGAAGCCCTGTTAGCAAAT